TATCAATTGTCGTTATTTTAGGTTCCAAATAAGTGTAAAAATTACAATTATCGAAGATAATGATTCAAACTCAGGTAACAGACTGCAACATGTGCAGTTACTTAGAAACCAATGGTACTTAGGTACTATCCCTTACTGAAATTGGGTGCCCTTTAAGGCCCAAATCCAAAGGCTAAACTTGCACAATATAAATCGAATATTGTTCCACTAGTTTTTCACTTTTTCTACGTGGGACAATAGTTAAACAATATAATCAAATTCTTCACTTTATAATGTTTCATTTGGATGATTTTGGATGCAAATATTTCATTCAATTTTTAATTATTTTCGACAAATTAATATATCATGTTAATCATCTCATTGAGTAGAACATGAATATTCTCGTTCCTATTAATTTTGAATCACGTGTCCTACATAATTTTGAGCTCAAAGTCGGCCAAAACTACAAATTGTAAAACCATTTCCAACAGAGAGAACTAATCTGATAAATTACCTTCCACCTTACTTGTTAATGAAGCTTAGAATTAAGCTACTCTAAAGGCATTTAGCTCTTTAAACTGTCTCATATAAGATGAAAGATTTAAAATCATTTTCCATAACCATTCGATACAAATTTCTTTGATTCGGCTGAATACCAAGAACTGAACATACGAATAATACTGATTTATAACAAAGCATTGGGGATTCGGCAAATCATGTCTTTCATTGTAATGCTAAGATCTTGGAGAAATTGAAGGAACGTTGATTCATATTGTTTCCTTTTGGACGATAAAGCTTATCTCTATTGTCTCACTGGCCAACCTTGATCGCACTCAATTCTTCAAACAAAGCACTCAAGTCAGTGTAAGAAGATCCATCTTCTTCAACAGCCTTTCTTGCCTTCTCTTTATATTCTTGTGCTCGTCTTCTCATTTCTCCACCTTCTTCTCCTTCCATAATGCGTCGAATTGCCGTGTCTATGGCTTCCCTTTCAATGCCTTCACTTCCCGTTCTCTTCCATTGCTTATTCCCAACAGAAACTCCAATTCTCAAAACATCTGTCACCAATTTCTCATTGGAAAACTGCTCTGCAAAGACTGGCCATGTCACCATAGGCACCCCTGAACACACCCCTTCAAGCGTCGAATTCCATCCGCAATGGGTTACAAAACCCCCTATTGCTTTGTTTTCAAGAAT